CCCTTTAGGGCGATTTTTGGTCTCGAATTAGATTGTGGAAAGCCGTGACAAGTTGGCAAACAGTCTGCCCACAAGCCCTAATGAATGGTTTGCCCTATGTAAATATCAGCTTGAACATCTTAAATTGAGGTTTCTCTTGCCCTGCGCTGCCAAAAAATCCTCTGGCATGGCTTCCAACATTGACCTATTAAGCCTCAAAGTGCAGAATAAACATATCACATTTTTAACTACAATAATATTCCCTGCCTGAGCCAAAATCGCAGACCCAATCATTAAAGCAGGGGTGCATCCGGACTGGTGGGACATCAAGCGGATTGAGGCAAATGCTCATGAAATAAAACGTTGTGAACATGCAAGGACCACAAACAGCAATGACACAGCCAACCTTAGAATTGAAGCCCCCGACAATTAAGGAAGCGTGGCTGGATTTTGCCACACTATTCGATGCATCCGATGGGTTTACGAACCTGTGAGCTTGTTGAATCTGTTGCACCGTATCCCGGAGGAGTTAAATCAAAGTGGATGCCATAAGAGGTGCCCGAGAGGTGTCCCAGAGGCGTCCCAGGGGGGAGTTGAACCGGGGGGGGGCCCTACATATGAAATTTTCACGTGATGCGGCGATCTCGAGGATTCCAGCCCCTCACTTGCTAAAGCAAGGACAACTCCAGCTAGCAGATGCTAGCTTTCATGATTTACAATACAATAAATTATATATCAATTTTTGCAGCAGGTAGACATCTCAGGCAAACTATTCGATTGATTTTTGCATGACCTGTAGGCCCGTAAGGTATATGCCGGAATATACCTGTTGCATTGGATATCCATACACGATTTCAGGTGCAAGAAACTGCTCATCACAACGGTCTGCAGCTAGATTTCTGCGAATATCGCTGTCTGCAAACGCGACACATTCCCTCTATTCTAGCCGGATTTTACATGTTATTAAAAGAATATGTACAATACTAATTATTATAACGATAGTATGTCCAAACTAAACCTAAAGAATCGTCAGGGGTGGTGTTTTTTTTTATGTTGCGCAACATCTTTTGCACGAAACCATTATGGGGTTGGCGGCAAGAGGCGATAATCTTTAAATCCGGCCAGGGGCCCCACCTAGCCATATCATTGGCATAGGCAATCTTTCCTCTCCGAAGGAGAGAGGGCTAACCGCCCCCCGCCGCCGATCCCTGCTCCGACCACGCAGAATATTGTGTTTTACAATATTTTGAATTTCTTCCATTTTTTCGTTTTTATGGCTCCAAATGAACTAACATGCTTTATTTAACATAAGCCGAAAATATTCCCAAATAATGCTAGAAATGCGTGCCTCACCAAGTTGTTTCGTCTATATCGTAGGCAATTGCTAGGCTAATAACAACAACGACGATAAACACATTACCACTACTACAACAAACCCTTTGCTTAGGCCCCTAGCCGGCTAACGGCCGTAAACCCTTAACTTAAGGCCAGGGGGAAGAGGTCGAAAGCTAGCGGAAGCGTACCGGACATTTTCGACCAAGAATTGTAAAGAGGTTTAGAGCCAAAAATAAACATCTTCTCCCAGCCCAGAAGGAATTGCAAATCCAATAATTGATCGTAATCCTAGCGGCCACTGCTCAGGGCCGCGCGTTGTACTCGTCTAACTAATATTTTATAATCGGTAAAGACATTCAAAAAACGGAGGGGTAAAATTACCCTCCAGATTTTCTAAAAGCAATAACAAGCATTTCTTACATTATAATCTGGATAGAACGGTCAAATTACATCTGTTACCAAAGGCAACCGTGCAACCCCAGAGATTTAAAGCAAAAAAAATATCTTCTCCCAACCCAAAAGAAATACCAAATCCAATAATTAATCGTAATCCTAGCGACCACTACTCAAGGCCGTGCGGTATACTTAAGACTAGCTATATATATATATTTAATCCAATTTTAATTCGTCCTATCAACCACTATCATGCAGACCTATTACGCAATTCATTCAGTGGAATAATAATATACCCCACAATAATAAACGAATCGCGAGGAAAAAAAAAAAAAAAAAATTAATTTAAGATATCAATCTTTAAAATACGCAACCCCTCCCATCACAATATTATTAAAACAAAAAAAAATTCAATTAGCAAGTTTTCGTAAATAATATCTATTCATATATTATAATGAAATTTAAAATCAAATTCCCCATATAAAAATTAAATTACATAATCAAAATCGATATTCAAAACAAATCAATCGAATATCATTCATTATATTTAATCAACCTAAATAATATTAAAATCAATTATATATATCTAAAGATTAAACCAAATACCTAATATATCGATTAAATATAAATAAATCATCATTTATAAAACACATTAAATATAATATATAAATTCTCAATATATCAATATATTAAATTATATATCAATATATCAATATACTATATTGCATTAATCTATTAAAATTTTCGAAAATAACAATGATTTTTATATCAATATAATATCGATTATAATTAACAACCAATATAATATCAACATAATATCCTAAGAATTTTCCAAATAGCGAAATTAATATTGTTAATTTCCAAATAATATCCGATAATATATGAATGATATCAAGATATAAATATAAATATTTGATTTATAAATATATATATATATATTAATTTAATATATTTCTTTTTATGTTTGTGAAACCTTGGTCCTGTACCATTCGGTCAAGGGATAGTCTTGAAATTTATATTCCCGACATTTCAACCCCATTCCTATTATCAATAATTGTCCTTCAACAAGACCCCAAATGGATCAGACTGCACAATGGATCGTTTTGAGCTCCCACCATGTCACGTCCTCTTCGGTGAACTTCTCCCGTCCTTCTTCGAACTTTGGAAGGTTGAATCCGCGGGAGCATCGTAACGACCTCACAGGACGAAAAGGGACGAAAAGACCTCCGCAGACGAAAGGAAGTTTCCCCGGTGACTCGAGAGTCACTGCAAGCAGTGCTGCGAACCGGACCCGTGATCTGAATTGCAAAGCCATTACAGTAACTTCTCCCATCAAACCATGCAAAGCAAGCAACTCATGAACACCCTCGGAATACTACTTCTTGCCGGGTGCAAACTCAACTTCTGGCTCCCCCTACCCATCCATACCCATCCCTCCAACCGCATGGCTTCATGAAACACTCCTGAAGACCGAAGGCCCAGCACTCCGGGTGCTCCGGACAAAGCCCAGCGATCCGAAGAGCGCGCCAGAGCCAAATGCCACCAAGACCTGTGGGACCCGTGGTTCACACAGACGCCACGCGAGGAGTGCGTCACTACGGGACATGACGGGTGTTTCGCCAGGAGGGGCTTGGAGCCTCTCCCAAATGGGAGATGCCGCATGTGTTTCAGCACACCGCGCGAGCGCAGGAGGCAACTGATGTTCAATTCTGGAGTCCATTTGTATAGAGTTGACTTTCATGTGGGTTTCCAGGAAATAGGCATTGGGACGAAAGCCACACACTTTCCTGACGGATAGCTGGGATTGATGCTGCCTTTCAAAAACCCAAGTTCATGGACTGTGAAGATCTGAGCATTTCAGGTGCAAACCGTTCTTAGTTCTATACGCTGCACGGGAGGTTCGTAAGGATGTGACAAATAGACCATTTGATGAAAGGATGGCCTGCAAGTCTGCTCTGCACTGGAGATCAGTGAGACTCTGGGATTCTGAGGATTTGACATTAATGTTGACATTGTTCACCAAGATTGCTTTTATGATGCGTTAGGCACTTTCAAGACAGAGTCTGACACTTCCTGCAGATGTTCTCAGGGATTTGTTCTCTGGGACTCCACTTTGTACATGGGCGCATGTGCTTTGTTGTCCCGACTCTGACCGTCCGCAGGTCCGGAGCGTGCAGCTCATTCTGTCCAGGTGCATTCTTGGCCCAGCTTCTCATCTCATCCTGGTGAGAGATGAAGGCGTAACAGACACGTCTTCCGATATGTTTGTTCGACGTCTTGGGAATAGTGAAGAGGAAAATAACATTGCCTTTACAAATCGGGGATCTCCATGCTTCCTAGGTGATGCTGGACTCTACAACAGCATGAATCAACATCTAGCAGCTAGACAATGCTTAGGTTGCACATTTTACACTTCTACACTTGATTGGTACGCCATTCATGGAGTGAACTCTCTGTATCAAGCTTCAAAACGAAACCACTGAACCCTTTGCTTGAGTTGGTCGCCAAGACAAAGGAGGAAGGCCTCTTCACCTTCAAAGTTAAAATTCAATTCCCCAAAAAGCGACAACATGTGCTGCCATGAGTTTAGGCCGCACGCAACAAAGGTCTCTCCGGACTAAGGATGTCTTTTCGAATAATGGTGACACCACTCAAACACCTCAACTCATTCATCACCTGCACCATCGAGCTAATACTACTGTTAAGAAAATCTTGGAGCCACACACTGGATCAGGTAACAGCTAGCAGCTAAGCTAGATGCGAAAACGCCAGCCCAACTTGGTTGAAACTTTCATCTCAAATGATGGCATGTGGTAACTTTGGCTTTTGGAATGATATAGAAAACACCACCAGGAAATAGGGATTGTAAATTGACATGATCCGCATTGTAAACAATCCTTTTCTGGATTCTCAGTCCCTGGCTTGGCAAGAGTATCTTTAATGCTACTGACCAACTGCACACCTAAAGGCACACATGTGTTCGGCATGAGCCACCACTTCGTAGACACGAGGATGTATTTCGGGTGGTTTTGGAGGTCAAAAGTGAGGACCGCCGATCAAATCGACTTCAATCTCCCCCAGCACGCAGCAATGCTCAGCGATGCTCAGCGCCTGCCACTTGGGCTGGAACACCTCGATTCGAAGCTTCCGCGGGGCCGAGATCAAACGGCTCCAAGCCGCAACCCTTAAGACATCAACATTTTGCAAGGATCCAATGTTAGTAATTGTATGTAATTGTATTATGAGGGACGGTCAAAACTCCTTATTCTTCTTCAACTAAAAAATGGACGTCGTCGGTTTTGAGTTGGACCTTATCGTTTTATAGTCTTTTTGAGTTCGTCGCATACTTATGATCATATACAGCGCTGGGGTTGTCGGTTTTGAGGTGGACCTTATCGTTTTGCAGGGTTGTGAGCACAAACCTACCCCTCTTTACTAAAGTGGTCTTTGCATGTTTTGACCGTGGCTCATATGTATGTTTATAAGACATGTTATCTCAGTTTCGGGGGTGTCTGAATATGTCTGAACATGATTCTAGAAGAAGCAGCAAACGTGGATGAAATCGAAGATGAGAGAAAGCATGGAGATCACTTCTAAAAATGAAGGCGGTGCAGCGACATGTCCACTACAGATCAAACAAACTACGAGGAGTTCCAAAAGAGGATCTTTCTAGACCCTAGGTGAGTGTGATTTTAGGCACATCTCTAAACTGCCAGGTTTCCGCAAGGGAGATGTCTTTGGGTTGCACATAGTCTTCTGTGACTTGACGGATCTAGGTCAAGTGCAAAGGTTGCAGACTGAAGGATGTAGGTAGCTACTAGGCTACGAGACATCGCATCATCACAATGTCAGAAAGAAACTGTCAACCACTCACCAGGTCCATGAGTACCCCCGATGAACGTCCGAAGGACGAGTCCCAAGGTCATCCATGTATGGAACATGCATGTAACTGTTGCAGTCCCATGGATGGTGGTAACTGGATGGCTGGAACACATGACCAATCGACCTGGGTCAAGAACGCGTCCCAAACGCTGACGCAGATTTGGAGGGACCCACCACCGGCACGGGACATCGTTTGAGCACCGAGAACCCGTTTCCCCAACACCCTGCTGCTCCTGTTGGGCCCCATCCCTCGCCTGGGCGGTCTCCTCGGGCCTTTGGAGCGATGGCCGATCGAAGCGAAGAAGCTGCGCGCCACGGTGAGGGGTCGACGACCGCGACGAGCCATTGTACGCGAGCTGGAATTCCAAGTCGAGGAACAGATCTGGAGATGGGTCTTAGTAGTTTGATGATGTTTGATGTAGTTTGAGGGTGCAATGCGCACTTACTGTAGCTCTGAACATGAGCGGTCGTTGGATCTCGTCCCACAAAGGTGTTCACCCAGTGGTGGGATGCCTTCTGCACCAACAAATCGACTATTTGGTCACCACACCTCTCATTTTGACGTGCTTTTTGTTGGTTCGGCGACCTCTTAGAGGGTTCTGATCTGTTCCATGTTCATGTCAAATGCATGGACATGCAAAAGGGCTCTGGTGTAAATCAATATATCAAGACCTTTCCATTCCAAAATCCTTCTACTGTTTCTACTCCAAATAACATTGAGTATGATTATAATATCAATCAATATCATATATTTACGTGTATTCTTCCAACAACCTTTGTGTGCAAAACTCCCCCTTGCTGACCGTCGACCGTCCAAGAGGCGTCATGCGCCGCGCGGCCGCAGTGGTTTTCAGGGACCTCGGCGTTGGTGGAAACAGAAACACTTGTCCCTAACTCTTGTCCTTGTCACGTGGTTCTCAAAAGCACCGACCGAAACACTTGTTGTTCCGATTCTATGTAGTTGAGGATGGACTTTATTATGACAGCCATCCAGCGATTCCACCATCGGATGTTTTCCAAAAGCGGTACCTGATTCGGATCGTGCGCAGGATCACGTTGCTCTTGGGGGCTTCCAGCAAGGTCACCTGCGCTCGGCAACGGGCAGTCCGGTGTCGCCGGTATCCTCAGGCAGTCCGTCGTCATTTTCTTCCACTCATATCAGTAGACTTTTGGTTAACAAAGCCTCCACCTTTGGATGATCGGACTTGCGGACTGTCTCTTCAGACGCGCCTCCACGCTCCCCCTTACCATGTCTTATGGTGGGTTGAGGTGGACGATGAAGGTGAGACGCTACGAATGACCCTGAACCTGTCTGTACACTACGAACGAGTAAACGGCATTCCATGGTTGCAAGGTCTGTAGGCGTCGGACCCAAGTGTTTTTTTTTGCAAACAAATTCTTAATTGGGGCCAGGGTGAGTGACCTCATCGAAGCTCTTTTTTCTAAACATTAGTATCGCACGTGCTGTGTGAATTTTTCTCTCTTTTGCATAGCGATTTCGGGCCAGTTTGGCCACGGTGGTGGATCTACTCTAGTCGGGATAGGGAGGGGGACGATCTCGTTATGGAATGGCGGATTGTGATTGATCGTCATTACAAGATCCTGCATGTATCGATATGTTTCGATGGCATTTGGCAAACCTGGGTGTCGCGAGACTCCAGACTCATGGTACCTAGAGAAACCTAGTCTTGTAAGGCTGGTGGTACCTTGTAGTTTGTAGGCTGGGATAATTTTAACTCTCGAGAACGTCTGGATATGCTGAAGGATTAATCGAAAATTTTCTGCAAGAACTCGTATGGATTTTGACTTAATTGGCTGTAGGGTCGCTTTAGTCTCATGATATTGAAGGATTTCGCTTCCTTGGCCTGTTTTAATACGGATAGGTAACATTCGACCTGCCCATAACATGAACGAGACTGAGAGTTCTGTCCAAGAGATTCCGGGATCGTTTGGAATCGGCGCAGTATCCGGGGCAGGCCACTTCAGGGTTGAACAAAAGGACCATACAAGCCTAGCATAATTACTACCCCACGGACAAGACCAGAAGACAACTCGATGCGGCTCTTCAGGCATCTCGAATATGTTGTTTGCAATAGGCCAATCTCTAAGTGATCTGATTTGTTTATGAAAGGAATGTGTAAGATTAGGATGATCCTGTTGTGTCTCATCTGTGCCGGTATCTCTATGGTTTGTAGAAATGTCAGGTCCTGGATATTTCTTTTCCTCCTGTTGTTCTAGCTGTGTCATGCGTTCACACGAAAGGTCCAGGAGATATTTGTATACTTCTGTCATATGAGCAGCGGACAATATTACTTGTGTAGCCAAATACCATTTGACATGATTATCGTTTTTGGTGGGGCCCATATCGTTCTCCAATGTTTCTCCAAACCGTAGTTAGCATAGCATACCGGCACATAGACTAAAACACAAAATCCACTCACAACCTCAGATTAGAGGCATACAGTGCTTTCTGCACAGGAACAATACAGCATTTGATTTACGTACTGTACTTGGGTTCTTGTGGCACTGGGCTGTGCAAGGATCACAAGCGGGGACCTAGTAGCTCGGCCCATGAACAAACACTAGTAATGTGGAGAAGTAGGTTTACGGAGTGCCTGGCGTGACATTTAGGTTATCGTTGGCTTATCGTTTGGATTATCGTTTGATATCGTTTAGGAAGTTGTCTGGGGTTATCATTGATGAAAAGTTGTGCCCATCGGTTTAGCTCACATAAACATGTAAATGCAATATCATATTGTAACCACGTTTGTACCCACTACATCTTAACAAGGTTATCGTTCTTGGTGGGGACCATATCGTTTTGCACAGAAACAAAGCCCTCAACATAGGTTTAGGGTAATGCCGTGACTAAATAAGTCAACCAATAATTTTGTCCGTCGCTCATATGCTTCTGTTGTGTGTCGTAATGCTTCTGTACGTGATTGCACAATGTAAGAAAATCTGGAAGTTCTGTGGCACATGTTCGACCAGCAGCTTCATCGGCAAAAATGTTTCCAAGTATATGGTATTCTTCTGCGGAAGATTGTGCATCTTCAAGCCGTTGATGCGCCCTAATTTTGAAGGCATGAAACCGGTCTGAATCCCAAACTTGAGATAGTCTCCTGATCAAATCCCAGTGGTCACGTTTGTGTGGGGATTGGTGGATTGTGTCATCTTCAATATGGCTGATAATGTTATGAACAAATTGTGAATCAGTGTAGAATGACACATACTTCACTGTATTTTAGTCTAACTTCGTTGTATGATAGGGAAACCTCTTACATCTTGTGGTCGTGGACGGATGACTCACGACAGACATCTCATGACAATCTCCATGACTGGAATGAAGGTGAGATGTTCGCGGGGGGTGAACATGGTCGAACGCCTGCCTGATTTGAGGTGGGAAGGTACCCTGCGAGAAAAGCTGCAAGGGCATGAGAGATGCATGGACGCGCAATGGAGTCTTGGACACAGATCTGCTCCAAAACTGCCACGACTGCGTAGAGAGGACATGTCTCCCGTCCAAGCCGTCCAAGCCGTCCAGACCGATGGAGATCGCGGGGGGACCCTGGTTGACCCACGGAGCGATGAACCGAATAGACTCTACGAGGAGCGAGGTCACGGGTCGGGGTCGACCGACCAGGGTGAGTGAAGCGGTCTCCGGGGTGCCATGACCGGCATAGATGTAAAACCCTAAGGATCCAAGTACCCTCTGAGAAGGTGTTTGGGGTGGGTTTGGAGGGTCCAAGTACCTTTTGAGGAAGTACTTGGATCCCTAAAAAAAAGAAATTCCTTGGCCATCAATCCATGTTGCTGGACCATGCTGGACCAATCGGCCTAAAGGCAAATCTTCGGAGGGGACCGACCGATCCGAAATGGAAGATCGCCACACGCGGTCGATTTAAGCCGCCCGCTTCGGCCACTGGAAAAAGGCAACAACGGACCCCATCAGGGAAGATGTCTGCAAAACAAGCGGTTGCTGGGTTGCTTTAATTCAACATCCATCTTGAGGGTTGGTATGACCGTATGACCTTTCACGTTCAGTCAAATATACATTAATCCTGATGTGATTGAATTGAGCATCCAATTTAGCACAAGCCAAGCACAAAAGAAAAACAAAACGGATACGGTCAAAAACGCCATCCATCTCTGAGGTTACAGGTCAAAGCACAGGGGCAACTCTTTGTCTTATATGCCACAATAACTCTTCTGCAAGTGCGACATGTCCATCCAACCCAGACCAATTCGACCACACTCGAGGCACCTTCACGCACTCCACGCCCGCCGCCGGGCGGCTGGTCGGAGAGCGCCAGAAGAACTGGGTGGAGCGGGCGGCGAGGGCGGCGGAGCGGAGAAGGAGTCACTGGGAGTTTCAAACACGTCTTGTAATTCAATGAATCGATGATGATGATGATGATGATGATGATGATGATGATGATGATGATGACGACGATGATGATGATGATGATGGATCGCAGGAATGTTTTGCAGGAAGAAAAAAATATGAGATTATAGAATCTGATAGAACCGATAGTCGACCGTCAGTTGGAAGATCTCCTTTAGAGATTGGATGAGTAGATGGGTTCCAATGGTTTGAAGGCGGCATCGCTCGAGAGAGATCGTTCTGCGACCCCGATGACACCTGTTCCAATAGGAAGAGTCATGATCCTCAGGCCAATGGAAGGCAGAAATTCCTGACATGTCAAGAACTACCTCCAGTGCAGTAGTGCTTGATTGATCAACACGGCCTTTAGGATCTGCAGCGGATAAAACGAGGCTCGTGAACATCTGGGCGAATCCAAGTTCTCTTTTTGGCCTCAGCTATAGGCAAGGAGATGCTACTAGGCAGTCTTTGGGCGTCCCAATCCCCCTGGATCTACCAACAAAGGACCCTCCACGGCGACGGGCACCACCCCGTGGGGGGCCGACCGCCTTCTTCGGGAGTTCGGGGTCCGACTCGACCATTACCGTTACCGTCGGGCGCCGACGCCTCGCGCCCGGAGAAGTTCGTGAGGGGCCTGGGAAGTTGGGAGATGGTTCGACTTTCTGCGAGAGGGGAACACCCTGCAAAGGACCCGACTACTTCATGGGGCTTCCTCCTTTCTGGTTCACTGGCTTAAACGGGTGAATGGTCTGGAAACGGGTGAATCTTCGGGGTCTAACTGTTAGTCTCCGGGGTGTGTTTACATGGGGCGCACTTGACTGACTTCCATTTGAGCTACCCGGAAAAAACCAGGCAATCCAATCCCTTTTCTTTCATGGTCGTACCTCACAGCTGGCATCCACAGCTTGGAGTTTGTGGATCGCAGCTCTTTTGGCACCACTTCTCTGATCGGACAAGTTCACCGGCTGAGTCGATTGTCGAGCTGCCTTTGTCAAGGCGGGTAAACCGGGTAACCCACCGCTTTCCTCGGTGTGCCAACCTGGTCTTGAACCGAACTCGGTGGCCAACCCCGCACTCGACTCGCAACAGCTACACTTCGACTCGCTGGCAGTCGATGGCCCACCCTGTCCGTAGAGGAAAATAGTCTTCCCAGGCCCCAGGGGTCCTTTTCCACTTCCATGTTTGTGAGGCCGAGGGTAAATTTACATGCAACAAAAGCAATCCTTTTCTGGACCGTTGGTGTGTCCAATGGCATTTTCTGGCCGGGAGAGATGTATGTTGGTAGACGTGGAAATCCATGTCTATGCCGTAAATGCCGTAAAAATCAACTCTAGTTACTGGGGCTCAAGCCAGAAATGGAAGAGTTTCGTTCATTCACGAGGATCCGTGCCAACTTGAAGCAAGTCGATTCCGTTACAGTCTGGACACATGGGGCATATGTTGGATGATGAAGCGAGACATGAGAACATCGAGAACGTTGAATTCATGCGACATCACACGAAGAAATGATCCATCGTGCTTCGAACATCAACAACATGGTGCTTCGAACATCAGTGGCACATGCCATTTGTCAGGTTGCTTTTGTCCGGTGGACCGTTGGTCTCTTGTTGCCATGCGTCTAGTCACCGGCCCCGCGAAATGGCAAGGATGTAGCTCCATGGAGTTGATCTTTTTCCAGCAGCATGGAGGCTGGCGCATTTTGATCTCTGTTGTACAAGTGGTGGTACCAAGGTTCAGGGTCCATTGGATTGTCCTTTGTTGGCTTTTGTATGGTCCTGCTGAATCATTGTGCCAATGCTAGTGGACCTCACAAGTCCATGGATTCACAAGCTTGCCCACACTGGAAAAGCACCAGCGCGAGATCATCAAGATTCAGGTCTGATCTCAAAATGATTGGAACAACAACTCACCAGCAACATCCTGTTGACCAATGGTAAGTGACACACAAATGCACGTGACAAATAAATTATACCCGACCCAAAGTTACCCGAATACATCAACTTCAATTTGTTGCTTTTGGACAAGGGCCGCAAACCCACACCTTCTAAAATGCGACGCGTCTTGCATGAAAGCGGCTCATAGACACTGCAAAGCCCATGCCTTGGACAGCCCAGTTTCTACATAGGCACTGCAACATTGAAGATTCACCATCAGAAAAACGATCCATGGAGAAATCAACGACCTCCAACAAAGGTTCAAGTAATGTTCAAGTTAATCCTGCAAATAGTCAAATAGTTGGTAATCCATACTATTGAACTGACGACTAGCGACATTTATATTAAAATCAGTGCACTTGTTCAAGTTTGTGATTCAAGCAGTCAGCAGTTAATTCGTTTCACTATCGCTATATGTTTAGTTATTGATTCGTCATCAAATCATGCAAAAATTGAACTTTGAAGGACCACCACGCCTTCGACTGGACATAACAAAATTAGAACGGGCATATGCGGCACAACACAAGATCATCTTTCTGTGGAATAGTATGTTCAATGATTCAATTAGATTTATCTATTTGTTCTTAGTTTGGTTTATCATCTGGCACTTAGGGCTTGCAAGGGCAACAAAATGACATCAGCAAGACTTGGCTTTGATGTCTGTCATCGGTCTTCCCTTCAAACATCCAGAATTCCTCTTCCCGTCGTCTTCTTGCCTTTCCTCTTTTCAGGTGGCGCCCAGGTTCCTGAGCGCTCCACCACGTCTTTGAGTCAAACAGTGTTTGGAGCGCCACACCCGCCCCTGGGCCCCCGAGCGCTGGAACTTGAGGTCTTGCCCCACGTGGCACGCTTTGATTCAATCCTATCAAGGTCGCGGCCGAGGATCCTCGCACTTCCGGGAAACCTTGTTCCAAGATCATCGGTTGGTTGGGTGTCTCCCCATTGAAATTGACATGCACACCCATTTCATGGGATGTTCTAGCAGCAGGGTTCATGCTGAATCAAATGACTCTTCCAATGCTGGTCTCTGGTTTACTTTGCTTGGATGCACAGGCTCGCGATGGCTTAAAGAATCGTACCACCCCAAGCAAATGTGTCAAACCAACAATGCGACAGATTTCCAGTGCCACCTGGGACACACAATGAACCTGATGAATTCTGATTCTATCTGATTCTGCATCATTGTGGTCCATCATGGTCATGAAACCGGACGCTAGCTCCTGTCAGGTCCTCTCAAACCTTCCTACAAAGTATAGCTGCTATTATGGTTAGCTATATCCATCTCGTGCCTTGCCAACACCAGCTTCCTTGAACCTTCAAAGACCAAGGGACGCCATAAATCATCATAACTTCAAAGGTACAAACGTGGCCAGAAAGGGGTCATCCGTGGATTCGCAACGGAGCAAGATGCAATAGCCCCCTGCAGAAAGGCCACACACATGTTCTTTCCCCTCTGTTGATCATGTTTCAACATTCCTGCTAGGAATGCACTACTGAAACCATTGCACCACGGCCACGCCTGCGGGTGCTCTCCCACGGCCAAGGGCGATCTCTGCGTCAGGAAACACCTGGGGCCGGGCGGCCCGAGAACTCCATGCCAACAGTATGCAACGTGCCACAGGGTAAGCAGTTCCCAGTTCCATCCCTAGATCTTCAGTCCGGCACTTTTACAGGGTCCGGCGCCGGACTTCCAACTCCGGCGTTTTTCTGGATTTGGTCCGGCGCTTTTTCCAAGTCACTTTATGTGGATTCTCAAGGCTTTGCATTCTTTGTGGTCTGCATTTCTTTGAAGGTAAACCCACTACTGATGCAATGATTGTGTTTGCAAAGTTTGCTCGTTTGCCTGTTCCGCTGATTTCTCATTCCATCGGTTTCAGCATGGTTCACACTGGATCAATCAGATCCGTTTAGGTGATCTTCTAAATGAAATCGGATGAAGCCGGTACAGTGCGATGCACATGTTGAAAGACCCAAGTGGGCGTACCTAAGCTGAAAGAGCATAGGCAAAAATGTACTCCCATTGTTTCAGGATGTCGGGGCGCTGGGATATAGTTCTAGCTGCGCAGGTTTGCAGAGCCTGCCGGACAAGTTTTTTGGGCTGTGGAACATGTGTTGTTCAGAATCTCAATGTTTTGCAGAGAGTTGTCAAAAAATGGCACGTCGTAACTCCGGCGTAATTTCCCGTAATTCCGGCGTAATTTCCCGTAACTCCGGCGTAATTTCCCGTAACTCCGACGGTTTTTTTTGGACTGAGTCTTCTGCAGGCTTTGGCTTTGATTTTGAAAAGTTTTTCAAAGAAGAGTTTTGACAGGAGCCATGAGTTCTGCTACTTTATTGGGGGGCCGTCCTGAGGCAAGCTTTAAAGAAACATTAAGAAGCATAAGAATCATGGAGAGCAACCCACTTTGTAAAAAAACACTTTAGAGACACGGTTGCAGAGAAAGATGAGTTCATTGCCACATGCTCCTTGGTTTCTTCTTGGAAGTATTTGCTTGGGCACAAGTTGCTTATATTTTGTGATGGTTCTGCTCTTAGGCCATTCGGAAGATGGGCGAGGGCAATGGGAACGGGAAGGTTCGAGTGTGCTCCAAAGGAACTACTCGCGGCGCAAAGGCAATTTCCTTGTGTATGATCCAACCTTTTATCATCTCTGTTTTTCAGAATCTTGGATCCGGATGTTTTTTCAGGTCTCCGGCGTTTTTTTCGGAATCCGGCGGAAAATTTTGCCGAATTGAGGTCCGGCACTTTTTTCCGCCCAAAGGAGGATCCAGGTCTGTGACTTTCTACTCTGAACTCCTGCTTCAAAAGAGGTGAACTGAACTCGAGGACCAAGTCTTCTGTCATTCTTCTCATTCTTCTCCTACTGCCCCCAAAGAAAAACACCCAAAACGCAAAAAACATGTTTTTGTTTAAAACTTATTTGATGTCTTTCCTCCGTTCTTCTCAACACCCATTGGCACGATTTCGCCACCCTCTTCACCCTCCGAGCCCTTCGGAACTTCTGAGCGCCGGGTCGATCGGGCGAAATCCCCATGTCCTGAGCTCGGCGCAAAGTCGAAATCCGGATCCGCCAGCTCCGGCCTGGGCACCGAGGACAGCACTAGCGCAGCGGTCGGTGAGAGGAGAACGGGGGCGCCACCGCGGTCGGTGCGGCGTGACCGTCACCACTTTTTCACAGCGGAAAAAGTCGGCGTTTCTTTGTGTGAATTGTGTGAGTGAGGTTGGAGTGGACAAAAAACTGAAACAAAAACAACAAGACATCATACAAGCATAGACCCCAAACAGCTTCAAAACGATTCGCTTAGACGACCAATATGAGTCAAAAATCGATTTCTTGGTACGCCCTACCTTCACCGCAAGAGCAAGCTGCTTCATCCTTGGATTTTTGTCGGCATTGACATCGCTATTTGTTCGGCCACATTCCTCTCCAGGAAGCCGGGCCACAGAGACCAGCCACAGAGTTCAGGGGCGGCCAAGACAAGGACAAGAGGAGGACAAGACCCGGACACAGAGCCCAGCCACAGAGTTCAGGGGCGCAGCCAAGACAAGGACAAGGGGAGGACAAGAAGAGGACACGGCCCAGAAGAGGAGGACAAGGCCTGGACACAGAGCCCAGCCACAGAGTTCAGGGGCGCGGCCAAGAGGAGGACAAGAGGAGGACAAGAGGAGGACAAGGCCTGGACACAGAGCCCAGTCACAGAGGACAAGAGGAGGACAAGGCCTGGACACAGAACAGAGCCCAGCCACCGAGGACAAGAGGAGGACAAGGCCTGGACACAGAGCCCAGCCTGAGTGTGGCCAGCTCCTTTTTTTCTAAGATAGAACCCCAACAGTAAACTGTTTGGGGAACAACATTGAACACATGTCAACCTTAAAAACCAAGAAGGCCGGGCTATGCCGGGCTAATGTATCATCCATCGCAACGTTTCATATCTCAACCTGAGCCAAGGTTTTGGGTAGCAAGGTATTGAATGGTTCAATCTGCCTCACACCACTGTTGCACTGAACTTTGAACAAATTGCATTCTCATAGCACTTCCACAAAGATCACAAAGAGTGACCTGCCAAGACCTCAAATGGCAGCGCTAATTCATGGCCCTTCGCAACAGCGGTTTGCTTTGTGTCTCACAGGGCGAATCCATCATATAGGTGGACCAACGGGCATCCGAAACAAACCAACAAGTGAATATATAGACCCCCCAATAAATAGAAAAGTATATACAGATCCCCCCACTATATAAGAAGTATATCAGGAAAGCGTGCCACTAGCTAGTTGGTGACCCCGATTTCTGTGCGATCTAAACAACATGGATCGCCTCATGGAGGCCATGGATCGCTTCTTGTCTCTTTTGTCAGGCGGGGATTTCAGGGATTTCTCGATGCATCTAGTGCGTCTAAGGCACTGCTTCTTGTTCTTCGCCGCAGGACGTAGGAATCTGGCACAGATTCCAGGAGTGTGCATGTGTGTGCCCCAAAACCCCGACCATGCGAGTGGAGTGTGCTGTTGGATGGAAAAACTCTAAGTCTCAAAGAATCAGAAACAAAACTAAAACAAATGGCATGGGTTTGCTTGTCTGGCACACTTCATGTCGATCTCTGCAGAATTTCTGGCTAAGGTTTCCAGCGACCATGCGAACAGCCACTCAAAGAGTGCAGAATGCAGGACCCGAACAATGTTCCGTTTTGTCCACATGGCCTGGAAAAGACCATGCAGAATTCAATGCTCCACCATGGAACAAATCCACAAATCCACACACGCAAACATAGACTCACCAGGAATCCACATTCTCACAAGATCAGATGTAGTCCTGTGATGTCCCGTGGAAGGGTGATGCCAGAACCAAACTCGAGAGGAAAAAGCAGCGATTCAATTCAGAAACTTCCCTGCCACCAACAGCTGACGACATGTTCCGGCGCCAGATCGCATGACACAGTAGAACACAGCGGCACCCAGCAGGACCCAGCGTCCCAAAGGAATCCTTCTGGTGTTGAGATTTCAATCAAACGACAACTATTCCTAGCCCGGAAATATGGTGGATTCGGCACAACTGCACAACACCTTCGAACTCGTCTATGCAATAGCTTCTTTGTTGCAGGGTGGATGACCTCCGCCACTCCCACGGAATGCTACATGCCGTGGCTGCAACCGATGACATCTAAACATGCCAGGCAAACCCTCCCATTCGCAGGTTGATCATCTGAACCTCAAATGGCGCCGGCTGCGTTGACGGCCCTGAAGGCATTGGAAGGGTGTGGACACCAAACACATACCCTGACACATTCAAAGGGCCCGCCCTTTCGAGGCCCTTCTGCAAGATGCTTCAGGCACACGCCTTCTGCGTTGGAAAAAGGACCATGTTCTCACTAGAAACCTGCAATTCTTCTGGAGAAGAAAGGTCCATTTCATCCATCTGGACCATTTGGAAGTTTCCACCGGTCAATCTGTTCCGCCACGGAACAAATTCACCCACGCGTGTGCTGTCGTGGTTGAGAACAAACTCATCCGAACTCATTCTAGTTTGTCGGTCGAAAGTCACCAACCGAATCAAACACTCTTTTCCAAGAATAAGGGGCTTCTATTGAGAGCCCCTTATAGATGTTAAGGGGTGTCCATCAACCACCCCTTGTGGGTCCTGGTATATAAATACATGTAGACCCAAACAGTCCAACTCAACGAGTCGAACAGGATCCTACAGCACTCTGTCAGTCTGTCTGTCAAGCCCTCAGTCAGTGAGTCAAGCCACTTCTTCACTGAAGGGACGGTCAATGAATGTTAAAGAATGCGTATTGTATGATTGTATTGTGTTGTCTCATGTCTCTGTCTTGTGGAACAAATCCCGTGGCTCTTCACCCCGCAGTTGTCCTTAACTCTCACTTTAGCCGCCTTTAGCCAGGCTTTGAAATGATCCATCTTGCATGACATTCTTAAACACATAATTCTGATCCCATTGAGTGTGCTTTTGCCGCTTTGTGTTGTTTCCTTTCGCACCCTTTTCGCGCCGCCCTTGCATGCCCCGTTGATTGCTGACTTCCTGTTGGTTCGTTTTGGCCACATGGAACCAGGAACAAGGACAAACCATGATATGCCAACATGAACCTCTCACCCTCATTTGTTTTCAAGACGCTGCCATTCCATGCCACTCGTCTGAATCAACCTCTGCACCAAAGGGATCAAGCGCTCCACCAAAACCATCGCCATGAGTTGCGCACTCAAACACTTAGGTGAGGTGAACTTCTTCTGCCACGATTTCTTCGCGCCCTTCCAAACCCCGTCTGCCCGTCTGCCCGGGCCAGAGCCAGGTCTGAGAAAAGCCAGGCCACGGACAAAGGCCTTTTGAAAACCACCTCGAAGGTCCCCTGGAAGACCGGACCAAGTTCGGTGCGTGTGTGCTTGTGCATCTGCTTTGTTCGGCCAAGCACCAGGACTCGAAGGGTGTGGTACTTCAATATCTTCAATGTGGTTCATTATTTTTTTTCTGGCATTGTCATTGTCTCTGAAATGATCTTTGGGCCTGTGGGTGATATCATCTATATGATTATGTAGATGTCCTTGCCAGCCCTTCCATCTTCCAGTGACTTCAGCGCACAAATTCTTCACAGGCACATGCCAGCGGGCACCCCATGGGCACCCCAGTCTCTCCGCTTGGCCCAGCCCATCGGCACATGGGCGGTATCACGCCTTGCCCACCACCTCGGCCAATGTCTGAGCCAGAATCGTCACAGCCTCACCGTGGCGACGCAGCACGCCGCGGTACCTCGCGTGATCGAGGTACCTTTTGGCTAGGGCATCGCGCCGCTATGGTTCTTAGATGCACTAAATATGTGTAAATAGGAAGGACTGATAGAGAACCTTTGAACCTAAGAACTTCTCAGGATGACGAACCTCCCGCTGGGCCAGCGAGTTTCTGTCTTTGATCAGCGGGGTGTGGGACCCCCACTTAGCTCAACCCCGCAAAGAAGAACAAACTGACGATTGGTCGAAATCCTTTCTGCTGGTGAAGCACACAGCATGTCGTCTTTGGCGTTTCCACGGTTCATACCCCTACCAACATTTGACCAAAGCATTTTAAGACCGCTCTTTTTCCCCGGAGTTTGCCTGCTTTGAGTCTGGTGAAGCCACAACTGAAGAGTCCCACCGAACTGTGTGTGAACATATCAGATAGATTGCTGAATATAAAAGAACTCTCCATTTGATCCATTTGGATTGAACAACCTCTCCAGTCCTGGCACCGTCCGAGGCCACCAGGCCGGTGCACCACCCATGCCCTGTGAGTTGCCGTGGACGCCGTAGAGGTTCTGGCGCGTTTCGGCGTCCAGCGAGCGGAGCGAGAACCTTCGTGTTTTCAATTGATGTTGTTTCGTTTGAGCTCATTCAGATAGAGAAGGAAAAACACCACATTCGTATACAACACACGCAAACATAAAAACACAAAAACAATAAAGTCTTTCACAACACCAACCTGGATTTGATATCAACCTTTGGGGAACCCGTTGCCCCAAGGAAGTTGAACAACGGGCGTGCACATTCGTGACTCAACCGACGCAACCATAAACATAACGCTGACGGATAATTCCCAAGAACAGGAGGGCTTGTGATGGCGTTGGGTAGATTGGACAACTCATTGTTATGATGATGACGACGACGACAATGACGACAATGACACTACACAAGGATTCACACACATCCTTGATATTATCATATATTATCCATGAGCACTGAGCACTTGAGATGCTAGATAGATGGCTCATTGGTTGAGTTATTCACATCTTTTCGTGACCAATTTGTTTGCTACCTGTGGTCTGGCTCAATCAACCTTAGCTCGACTCAGAAGACCTGGTTCAAAGCTCTCCTGTTTTGGAGCCAAAAACACAGTTCAACTTTTACCTCTTCCCCGACTTCATGAGAACACGGAGCACACACGCACACACGGAGCAAAGGGGTACCGGAGAGGAGCGATGATTCAACTTGGTCTTGCTCTGGGGAGATGGAACACAACGATCTACCAACCCAACAGGGCGATTTTCAGGGGACTCATTCGGGACACATCAGTTTATCATGTCAATCACACAATGGATCTAAATGGGGAAAGGATATGGAAGGATTGTAGGATGTGAAACTGCATCATGATCTGGCTGGGCCCAGTGGACCGCCAAACGAAACAGCATAAGCAAGGACTGCCAAGACCCGAGTGATTCCAATCTCTTCAACGTGGAACCACTCAGTGGTTCTAAAATGTTCCAAAGCAAATTCAGACCTTCCGGCTGGGACCTTACTACAAGTACCTAGAGCTGGGTGTTTTTTTTGGAAGGAGAACCTCCAAAGACTTCTGGAAGAGGAACACTGAACGAAAGCCCATGGGTTGAGGGTCTCACCTACGTACTTTGGTGGCGCCAAAGCAACTGCAGATGCAGCTTGCTCTCCTGAGACTCTCCTGGCCTGCAGCTGGTTTGAGGTGGCCGGATCTAGGTGAAAGCCAGCGAAAATGTCCTGCAGATCTCGGCGCTTCAGCTGGCGGGCAAACTTCGAAAAGGTCGGAAGACAATGCCCTTTGGAAGAACAAGGCAAGTGTCCTTTGGTCATGTAAAGTGCAGGAAGACAACAAACAAGCAAACCAAAGTCTTCTCATGGTCTCGGTAGAACATGTTGTTTGAACCTGCCTGGATTTCCTGCGCGTTTCACCCGAATTGATTAGATACCACGGCTTTCAAGAATCATTGTGAATCACCGCAATAACAAGCATTTACATGCATTCACTGTATTTACAGCAAACGACAGCAAATGGTTCGTGCTCATACACAGGTCTGATCAAAGCTGAAGACTCACCTGTCAGCCGTGTGAACCGTTCCAAGCCATGAAAGGATCTACCTGCAGGGTATACTGGTGCCAAGCATACCCTAACAAGAAGATACTAGTAACAAGAGCATTACTAATAGTACAGTGCTTTGTTTCTTGGCGATATCTCAGGGTTGCACCTCACAGGACCTTCCGATTTCACTATCCCTGTCCGCAGGAGGGTTGTCAAAGAGCGAGGACAACAAGTTGTGCTTCTTGAAGTAGTCCTTGGTGATCAGTAGGACCCCCAAGCTGGCACAAGGGGTTCTCCTCGGGATTCCAGTCATCAACCATTGATCCCTAAGAACGCTGGCATAAATAAAACGAGGTGAACCATCCACTGTTTAAAGATCTTGAAAAGAATACAGCAATGACACGAATGATGTCAACGTTAAACTAAAGCATACTTGCAACTACAAGAATAAACAACACTTCCTTGCAATGGACCTTTTTCTATAATTCATACTTCGATTATTTAACTTATACTTCGATATTACAATCTGTCTATAGTCATCTTGAGGCCCTGAAGTACGGGTAGATAGGATGCACATGATTCCCAAAAAGTGAGGAACACGAGAACAACTGACTGCCTCAGTTTCCCTGAAAAAGGATTATTCCGTGCCGTTCTGGATTTGTGCAGAAAAAACAGACTCTCCATGTCCATGGCCTTTTGGGCTAACCGCCTTGGCGGCCAACCTTTGGACCTTCCAACTGTCCAACCTCGGCTCCACAGCTCCACAGCCTCAGCTCCATCCCAGACGCATCGTGGATGCGTTGGACCTTCCCCTCCAGTGAGGACACGTCCCCCACGTGCTCGATGATAGCCTCACGCATTCAGGGAATGTCCAGGGAGGAGGGTGAAGAGAGAAAGGATTGGGCAATCCCTTGGATTGGAACCTCTCCCTCCCTGATTGGTTTGTTGCGGCCGCCCGTTTCCGCTTCCATAAGCCGTTTGTTCTTCCGAAAACCAATAATATGATCTCCATGAGGTTGCTCCGGGAAAAAAAAAGAGAGGGAGAGAGAGAGAGAGAGACGTCCCTAGACAGGTGGGGTCTTCGCAGCACTTTCTCCTGGCCTCCGCCTTGTGGTACTGCAAGATCACGTCGTGGCGCTTCATCTTGGTGGCGGAAAACGCGATGTAGCAGGCCTCTCCGACAGGGGTGACAACAGCGCCACCCGCCCAAAGGCCCATGAATCGGCAGGGCACTGCAGGGAGCAAGAACAAGATCCGACCGAGGAGGAGTAACTGATTTGGTCATCTTTGATCAGGGAAAAAAAACATAAACAACTCTGCATGGGATGGATTATTCAACGCCACGCCTTCTTAAACCATGCAAAAGCAGGCAACAACTGATGACTGACAGGACTTGAGTAACGTGTTGTCTACCCGTGGTCCGTGGTGGCTCTGTCATGAGCTGTCGTCACTCTTGCTTGGTTTGGATAATCCGTATTTCAATTTGGCAAGTCTTTTTGTGATCACTGTCAAGCAAAGTGCCAGCACCGCGCTTATTCAGGTGTTGTAATTTGAGCTCACAAGTGAGAAGAGCGGTTTCTGCACTTCTCAACAAGAGCAAAAACACATTTTTGACATGAATGCAAATACTATGTAATCTATGTATGTATATAAAGAGACTACGTGTAGTCCTACGAGCAGGTTAACATGTCTCTCGGTGTCTTCATGAGTCCACCGTCTCTACCATGAAGATTTCATCTCTACCGATCTCTGTTCAATTTTCTTTAGACACTCCTGACACCAGTCAAACAGATCCTGACACCAGCTTAAACACCAAGGAGTCCACCGGTTTCTTTCGGGCTGGCTGTTCGGTGCTGAACATCTCCGCCTTGGGAGCAGACTGATTGTTGATCACGTCGACAAAGTCCTCAGGCCGAGACGGGAGATGACGGGAGACTGCCAACATGCGGCGAGTGGGTCCACTGGAGCTGGGTGAGAGCGGTTTCGCAGGTTTTGCGGTCAAGAAAAAGCATGTTGCCACCCTCTTCAGAAACACTCTTCGATGTAGGCTTGGACAAGTCGCTCGTGGATGTTCTCGTGGATGTTACAAGCTGACCCCCGTAATGACGGACTTGCTAAGTGGCGTGCTAGTGCTCATGGAGTGTTTTTCAGACAATATAGCAGATTTGTTCCTCAAAATCAACCCTGAGACCACCCCTGCCACAGTGATTGAGGCAGCCCTTATGCTTATCAGGCATACAAAGGGATGCTCTACTCAAAAGTGAATTTCACAAGGTGAGCAGCTTCTCTGGCCCCAGTTCGACCCTCGACCAAAAAAAGGAACGCCACTTATATATTAGGTTGGAGGCCATCGCTACTAGGTTGGAGGCCATTCCTATTAGGTTGGAGGCCATCGCTGCAGGCCATCGCTCTTAGTCTATTCTCGCGTTTGTAAACTCATTTCTGATGGGAAGGTCTTGCTAAACACAACAGGTGACTCGTCTTTGTCCAACCCCGCAAGAGCTCTCTCCAAGTTGCCCAAAGCAAACTGTCAGGTGGCACCTTGTGAGTTCAACACGAAGGCGAACGCCCGAGCACGCAAACGGATTTACTCACTTACACTACACTGTCATTGCACTGTCAACGAAATATGGTGCAACATGAAACGATCCCGTCGCCAGCAGTATCGGGCAGTTCTAGATCCTGAGATCAAAGCTGACCTTTTTGTCTTGCAAAGCCGCTTCCCTTAATGAATTTGGCTACTCCTTTACCCCTTTGGTTTCCATGTGGCGTGGCAAGGGATTTCCTTTTTTCAAACCTTAGACCCACACACCACACACCCGCACACACGTTGGACCTTGGACTGTCAGTCCTGCAACTAACCGTGACAGCGTAGTGACCAATGACATGGTTGGCTAGAGGAGGCTATAGGCTTTTCAACTTCCGGTGAGTAGCAAACGAACTTGTCTAACAGTATGGTCTTGTATAGTCATCCCCAAAAGGATATCAACAAAAGATTGGAATTCATGTCATTGGAGTGACGCGACTTCTAAGGATCGCCACTCACAGAACCGGCGTGTGCCCGTCCGTCGAACCGTTCCATGCGGCCGTCCTCGCCTCCGGGAAGATGGGCAACAGCTCGGCCTCGTCAGCTCGAGTCCGAGGCTGTTGAAACGGTCCGAGGTGCCCAGGTCGGCTCAGTTTGGTCCAAACGAACTCACAAAGACCCAACCATTGCCCTGTCAATGAGGGACTTGGGACTTAAGAGACAAAGCCCAACCGAGGGCCAGTATGCCAAATGGATGTGTATTGTACAATAGGGAGAGCCCCTGGCCCATAAGACCTTCACATGTTTGAGCAGTATATACAGTATTTTCTGAAACATGCGATTTGGAGCCTTGAATTCTTGGTGTGCGAATTCTTGAACTACACAGTGTGTCGCAGAAAAAAAGAAAAGCGAAACGGGAAGCTACCCTACAGTCCTAGACTCGGAGTCTTTGGCGCGTCGATCTGCGGCCCCCGGCAAAGCGTATGAGGTGCTTCGAGCGTACCACCTTGCGGTTGAGCCTGGGAAGCTGCAAGCTACACGTGGGGGTTCCAAATGAACGCTTACGGTACAAGCCTATGTAGGGTTGCTCACTCAAACGCTTGAGTTGCAGCCATCCTCAACCGCACTTCCAACCACTACTAATCATGTACACCAAGAAGGAAAACCATGGAAAACATGTATGCGAGGCAAACCTGTAACATGCAAAGGGTGGTCAATCGGGACTCGTTAAGAAGTTGGGTGCTAGTGATAGGATCTTTTTGCTGGTGCTCACCTCACAAATCTGTCAGTCTACCTGGGTATCCAGCATGTTCTGCAAGTCACGCCAGAAACAGAAAAACAAAGCACATCATATCACTTCAAACATAAGTTCAGCAAAACCAATGCAATGCCGCTCCCAACAATCCGCCCATCCGCTTTTCCATTGGGACGCTCACCGATCTTATTTGGTTGTTTGTCTCGAGCTTGAACTTACGCGTACAACTGTCGAACACGGAATGTATCAGGTTTGGCAATAATTGGCAAAAACACTGCATGGGCAGGTGCTGCAGTCTCCTCTTTCCCTGTATGGAGAGCAACCGGCCAGTCTGTGCAGCCGCTGTGCAACTTTCATCTTGCCACGGAATACAAATTCATCCTTTTCTAGCTGTACCAAACTATCTTTTGTCTTATAGAGATTCATACCAGCGTTCTTCGCCTCACCAACAGGTATGGATATCTGCAAATGTAATGCTTCTTTCCAGCCATCTGCGCCACCTGTTTCCAACGAACGATACCTCTGCTGCCCAGCCCCGTTCACCCGATCCTCTACGGCGCCCGTTCTTCGGATCCTCGGCACCCTCGGCGCCCCGGGCCCATCACGGCCCAAGGAGATCATGTTCCAGGTCGTCTTATTGACAGCCATCTTCTCCGAGACATAGTCTGCCCGAAGGTGGAGGGCAGGCTGTGACCCCAAAGAACCAAAAGAACTGTACAGAACACAGATGGTCAAACCTGATTGGAAGTGGCTAAGGGAGCAGAGAAAAAGGGCTGGCCTGAGAATATTTCTTTTTCATTGGATGAGGTTCTTTTCCAGCACTTCTTGACCAGGTGCAATTGAAACAACCCTGTATGTGTCGGGTGGTGTGTACCCTTGAAGTCTGGAGCTTTGAAATGGGAATGCCGAATCCCATCAGATTGCTTCCCCCAAGCCATTGTTGTACAAGTGGCTTGCCATATCCACTGTCAGCAGCCCCTCGAGTCTTTTCTGTCCAGGTACCTCCTTTTCCAAAGGTTTTGAGGCCAATCAATGGTCTGGGGGGCTAAAGGACTTTTGGATGGTCCACCCTCTGGGCATAACGTCCTTCCCATCTGTCAAGGCTTCTTCAGGTTTCTCACCTCTTTTCACAACTGAATTTGGCTTCAACTGACAGCTTTCTCAGGCCTGGACGGGAGACTCCACTCTAGATTCTAGATAAGAAACTGTTTGCGCAGGCAGCCTTCGCTATCCAGACTTGACCTACTAAACTGCTAAGCAAGCGTGGCTGGGTGTTGATGAGTTCTAGTCTTAGGATGTCTTAGGCATGCTTTTTTTTTACCTAGAACTAGGCCCAAGTGCTGCAAACCCTCCCACAGACTCCCCAACCAATCCCAGCGCTAGCGAAGCTCCAGCCACTCACTGATCGGTGCCTCGTAGAAATTTCACGAAGCCACTTTGTGCTACGATGTTGTCCTCCACCTGCGGACCCCGTGACATTCACCGAACATGACCCGTCGTCTCATTGGTATGACCCGGGCAGGTTCACAAG